CAATATAATATTATTCGAAGAATAATATCAATATATCTTCATTATTAATATAGAAATATATGTATCTATATATATTTGTATTTATTTATTTGTTTTCTATTATTCAATTATATTTGTTATCTATATATAATCTTATGAAATAAATCTAGAAAATGAATTTTTCGAATATATATAGAAAAAAAGAGAGATCATTTTTTCTAAATCAAATTAGATTCAATAAATTTCTGTTAGAATATAGATATCAAAATTTATGTGAATTAATTTCTCGATATAAAATCTTAATAATTCAATAATTTTTATCTAGATGAATTTTACAATATTATTTCCAGCCGAAAATTCTGAAATTAAATTCTAATATATAATTTTCATAAGCGTACAAAACGGTATTTTAATATGGCATCATTTTTTATCTTTACCAATTTCGCAATAGATTCCATGATTTTTCAATCTATTTCAATCTAGAGAAGTGAAATAGCTTGTTTGAATATACAGGCAGCATTACAGGGCGTGGCCCTGGGTTGGGGCCTTTTGAAGTCTTTGGACCTATCGGTTTCGGAGACCATGCGAGGCTTTCTGTTATGCTCACTGTCGGTTACATCATCTAAAAACCAAAAACTTCCATCCCGAACATCTCGACACCCTTGCTAAACCCTAAACTCCCGAAACCTCTCGAACGCAACAAGAAGCTAGGGTTATAATGGTAACTTTGCCGTATTGAGGGTATCGTTTTCAGGGCGTCCCCTCTCGGTTTACAGGTCACCGCTAGCCTTTGGCCATATATTCGACGACCGCCCACTCTAAAATCTACTTACGATAACTTTCACATCAGCCCCTTTATCTTGTTTCAGGCTTTCGAACTTTTCTCCAGCAAGATTTTCGTCGGGCCTCGGGTCTGCGGGGCTCGCTAAGGCTTAAAACACACGGGAGAAATGAAGGCTCAGGGCGCCTTCAGGGAATCTTCAGGGCCATGGTGGCCTCTTTGCTGGCCTTAATCGAGGGGACGTCCTGAAGGTTTTCGAAGTGACAGCGGAAATGCTGACCGGAGCTCTCGGCTTCGTCGAAGCAGTCGCAGCCCTCCCCTGAGAGCAGAAGCATGCCTACTTCTGAGATCACTGGCCTCAGATGGAAGTGACTTTCGAACCAGGTAGTGCAGGATTGCATTTCAGGATAAATGCAACTGCACTTCGTCTCGCCGTCCTCGGTGACCGCACTGCACTCAGTGGCCCCGAAGGAGAGGGTCTGGCAAGCCTCCTGGGAAGGCGTCTCGATGAGGCGATGCTTGTTCTGCGTCACCTGGCTGCAGACTGATTAAGTCACGCACCCGCACCCGCACCCACCCCCGCACGCGCACGCGCGCCCACACTCACACTCATACACATGTGCACACACGTCGGAACTCGACCTCTGAAGTTTGGAGCCAGGGCCATCAAACACGGCTTGCAGGCGGGTGCTTGCTGAGACCAAGTTGCCATGAGGAGAGTGTCGGCCGATGCTTCATCTGTCGTGGAAATGTAGTAAGTGGAGATCCCGCCACCATCCACCAATGGAAGCACGGGCATAGCTTCCTTCCAAGGCCCAGACGGCCCTACACTCCAAAACTCTGACAAACCACTCCTACGGTCCAGCACGACATTCTGCCGGTATTTCCTAGGTCTAAATTTTCCAAAGTCTGTGTCGCCTTCACAGCCGATGCAACACAGGAGTTACGACTCTCGTCGAAGATGTCCGCTCCAGGGCACTGAGAAGAGCAGCTTTGCACGCACTCCCCGGAAAGCCTGGTTCTTGTGAAGGAATTCGATTTACGTTAATGTTACTTACTATTTGAGGATCTACAGTAAACAATGGGGTTCCTTGTCATGGTAACTTAAGAAGAGCCCAGAAGCAAACAGGAGGCACCCTGGCTCGGCGAACAACCGCGGGAGGAGAGGAAACCCCCTTCCCATGATCTGCGATCACCACGCCATCCCCGGCCACCACACTTGAAGAGTGGATTCTGAGATGAATCCACCAACCCCAACCAGCAGTGGACGGAGTCCCCAGCCTTCCGGTGCGTTTCTTGCGCAGCTTTGCTACGAAGTTGGTAAAGAACACAGGAAGGATCCGAGCAACAGGCTTCCTG